GGTTCCTTCTCAGGGGAAGATGTAGCAGATGCCAAAGCTGTCTGGGTTAGTCTTGTCTGGATCATATTTTTTTGGCTTTTCATGTTGACAGGTGCTATTGACTGTCAGCTGGGAGGGCCAAACTTTTCACTTGCTATTGGCCTTTCTTTACTGGGACAACTGCGCCCCCTAGTGGCTTGTGTTGGGTAATTGCGTGTAGACTGGGTCTTTGTGTCTTGCCCTGCCGATCTGAAGAAAACTCCCTTTCTGAGGGCGGGGCTTGCCTTAGGCTGCTTCTCTGCTTTTGCAGGGCCTGGAGGGGTGATGGACGGGGGTGGGGGTGTGTTGTTTGGCTGTTTACCTCCGTGAGGGGTCTCAGAGCTGTTGCCCAGGGGGTTAGTGTGCCTGGTTTTCCCTGTAATTTCCAGCCACTGGACTGTGACCTTTGTTGTTTCCATCCAGCTATTATGTCCCTGTCCCTTTAAGACTTTCAAAAAGCACTCGCTTTTCTTTGTCACAGGGGCATCAGCTTCGGGACCCGCTCAGAGGTCTTGCTGCCCTATTTCCCTAGTTTCCAGCCCTCCATGCATGCACTGTGTCTGCGCTCTGGTGCGGGTGGCTGGGGCTGGGTGTTTAGCAGTCCTGGGCTCCCTCTCCCTCCTGCTGGGAGCTGGGGGGAGGTGTGCTCGGGTCCCGCCGGGCAGGGGCTGGTATCTTACCCCTTTCACCAAGCGCTGGGCTCTCGCACGAGTGAATGTAGTCTGGCTGTTGTCCTGTGTCTTCTGGTCTCTCTTTTAGGATTAGTTGTATTTGTTGTATTTTCAAAAATATACATGTCTTTGGGAGGAGATTCCCACTGTCCTACTCACACCGCCATGTTGGCTCCGCCCTGCTTTGTTTTTATACTCCACAAATGAGTGAAATCATTTGGTATTTGACTTTCTTTGCCTGGCTTAGAAAAATAAAACTTTTAAGCAAAAAATGACAGGTCTCATCCTGCTGTAGCTGTAATTCCATCTGGTGAGGTAATTACTGTTAAAAATATGGTAGATTCTCTCCTGTGTTTTCCCCTTACTCTGTATCTCTGTAGACAGACATGCACACACTCGTGTTCTTTTTTCCCATATAAAAATGAGATTATGCTGCCCTGATGGCCTCCGATTTTTTTTGTCGTGGACATTTTTCTACGTCAGTAGCTACAGATCTCGTCTTACTCTTTTTCAGTTTCACTGTAGGGCTGAAACGTAATTCATTTAAACATTCAGCGATTGAGGGAGACTGACATGGTTTTCAGTTTTGCAGCTCTCTAGGAGAGTGCCTTACTGAGCATCTCGTCCTTTCTGTGGACACCCATGCTGCCGTTTTGGTAGGAGGGGGTCCTTAGGGATGCACAAACCAAATTGGAGTCAGTACCCACAAACATGTTGATGATTTTCCAAATTTCAATTCCACTGATGATGTCTAAGAATGCTCATTTCCTACACTTTGTACCCACCCAGCATTTAATATTATGGATCTTTAAACATTTTGATAGTCCCATAGCAGATTGCATTTCAAGGTTGTTTACTCATTAGTGAGGTAGAGAAACATCTCATAAGTTTCTTGGCTAGTTGCATACTTCTTTATGTCACCTGAACATATCCTTGGCCTCTTTTATGCCAGTGTGTCTTTCTGTAGGAGTGTATGTAAGAAAGATATATGTGGAAATTCATGGTATGTCCTGGGTTTTAGGAACGGAAGTTAGACCTCTGTTTCACACTTAAAAGTTCTTGTATCTTTCACAACTCTGCAAAGGCTACTTAAAGAACATGGCTGCAAGGAATATAACAGTAAACTTATAAATGGCCTTTTGGTTTTCACCCAAGGCTATGCCCTTGCCTGGGATAGCGTCAGCAGTTGTCTCTGTGCCCTCCTGACGGGTGGGGGACACGGACAAAGTGAGCCCTGCATCACTGGGAGCCGCTTCAGGGGCTCAGAGGGCCCAAGGGGTCATCTGATAGGAGAGTGAAAGGTGCATTCTGAAGAGGCCAGCGTGGTCCTCGGGGACAGGGCTGTAGTGTTCAGTCTATCCTCAACACTTCACATCACCTTATTTTAATTTTTTTGAATTATAATCATATTCATGTGGTTCAAAATTCAGTACATGTAACAAAGTATGCAGTAGAAAGACTTGCTTCAGTATCTGGGTCTCAGTCCCCATTTCCCTTTCTATAGGTGTCCAGCTTTTTCTGTGTCCTGAAAATTTGTCTAGCACTTTTTGATTTTCAAATACTATTTTAAGAGAAAATAACAGAATAAAAATTGTATGTCTTCTATAATTGAAATTATGGCAGCTGAGCTGTACATTTAAAAATGGTTAAAATGGTAAATTTTATTATGTATATTTGCTACAATAAAAAAAACCTTAATAAAAAAGATAAAATGATGTCAGAATTACCTATTCATTATGCGCTAGGGCTATAGAGTAACGAGGAAAAACTTTGTAACATGTTTGGTTGGCCTAGTGGAATCATGAGTAATTTAATTTTCTTTCATTTGTGTTACTATGTTGCTCACTCAGTATATAGTTTTACAATCACGAGGGAAGGCACGCTAGCTATGGCCGTGGAGCGTGCAGCCGCCGTGGTGCCGTGTCTCTCAGATCCCTTCTACCCCCTGTTTTAAGAGAGAACACATGATGAGCTGCTACTGGGAGCGGCCCAGGCCCTTGGTGCCGCGCCATGACCCCAGCAGGCCCTACGCAGAGCAGTACCGCATAGACGCCCGGCAGTTCGCACACCTGTTTCAGCTCGTCTCTCCCTGGACCTGTGGGGCCCACACGCAGATCCTCGCCCAGAGGACTTTCAGGCTCCTGGATGACAACGTGGACCATCTTATCGAATTCAAAGCATTTGTGAGCTGTCTTGGTATGACGCTGGGGGTCTTAATTCTGTGAACTGATCTGCAGTGTGGGTCTGTGAACACGGGATAAGGTGGACTGTGGAACAGGCAGACCTACTCAATGAAATGTATTTGTGACTAGCCTGTGTGATTTTGTTATTTTAAAAAGTCACTCTGTGGGCTCTTCTCATGACCACTTTTATGCTTCTCTAAGGGACCCAGGGTCTCAACATACAAGGTCACTGACCTTATTCTCCTCAGTGCCCAGGCTGTGGTGCCCCCTCATTAGAAGCCTCATTCCTAACTCTTTCACATAAAATTAAATTTTCCAGAAGGTATGAAGCCAGAAAAATTCATGAGATTTATCTTGTAGCTCAACAATCACCAACCACCACCTTACACATTTTCATTTCAATTACAGGTAGGGCAGAGGAAGTGTGGGGCCAACCAATACTGACCTTTCTAAGTTCTTTCTCCACAGTGAGTTTGTGTCATGTCAAAGGTACTTTAACCATTTACATCTACTCAACCTCTCCTTTTTATTTTTTGCAGATATTATGTTTAATGGAGAAATGAATGAGAAAATTAAACTGTTATATAGGCTTCATATTCCTCCAGGTAAGACATTCCAAGCTGAAAAATTAGGCTCTGTTCTGTCTTGACACAGATCAGCTTTGTATGTGACACTGAAGTTCATCTCTTTTTAAATTTGATTTAGATTCGAAGCAACAGATGTTTCTACTTTGGGGTTGCTGATGACAAACTTTAAGTACAGTATTATATGGCCTATGGAAGTGGTGCCCAAACTTGAGTGCCCATCCGGATCCACCTGGAGGGCATAGTAGACACAGGTTACTGGGCTCCCCCCCTTCGGGTTCCTGACTCACAAGGTCTCAGGACCACACGGAGAACCCAAGGTCTGTGGAATGTGTGGGAAGCCAGTCCTGGTTGCCTTAGTAGCTGGTTATTTCAGCCTACTGTGTTCGAAGGCCATGTCATTTTCCAGAAAGGAAGACCATGTTTCCTTCAAGTTAAGCCATGGTAATCAGGAACAAAGGAAGCAGTTTTGAAACCTGTGAGATCAGACTTTGCATTAAACCTTAAGGTGTTCTTCAGTCTTTGAAACTGATAGAGCTGGATTAAGAATCCCAGAGGGTCTCTGGACCCCAGTGCCATGGTTCTCGTGTTGGATGGGGCCTCTGGCTACTTCCCACAGAGGGGGGCCTGGGGAAGCTGGTGACGTTTCTAAGGCCATAAAGTGGTGGCTTTTACAACTAACACCTATACAGATGTTGAAAATGCACATGGACATTATTTGTGGACTTTCTGCGTACACTTCCTGAAGTCAGCCATTACCGAATTGAATTAGCACATAATACATTATGCGCAGTATCCCCAGGATAGGTCCTGTAGCAGCCACACAGCTCCTCCTCCACTTTTACATGGACTTATTATTTCTATAGGTCAAATTTTTTAGCATCAGTGAAATTCTTTGTCTTTTATGCCAACAAAAGTCACTCAGTTTTGTTTATTTAATGTGCCCTTATTTTCCTGCTACCATAGAGGGCATGCATCACTACTCCTTTATCACTGTCATTATTACCTTTTCATAACCATCATTATCTATATATAGTGCTGCAAAATAGAACATGCTTGATTTTACTCAATGATTTCATCTTGACTTTTAAATAAACTTTTTGGTGTAATTTTATATTTATAGAAAAGTTGCAGAGATACTACAGATAGAGTTCTCATTCTTCATATACTTTTAAATTTATTATTGGTATTTGCTTTTATCAAGATTGATATTTGATTCTTGATCTAACTTCAAGTTGAATTGCTTCCAAATTACAAGTTTATTTCTAAAAGACATATTTTAACTACATTAGTTCCTTAAAGACATTGGTAGACACTCACACTCATGGGTTCAGAAAACCAATTTTTCAAAACTTTTTTGCAGATTATGATTGTAGTATTTATATTGTGTGCCTCCAAATTTAAATTAAATGTAAATTAAGATTTCACTTATTATTTTACTTTACCTATGTTTAACATTTGAATTTTTGATGCAGTTTTAAAAAGTCTTAGGAATGCAGATAACCTAAAACCTCTAAAACATCAATTTGCCAAGGCCATGAAGATCCACCATACAGTTAGGTATTTTTCATTTAAATTTAATTTTAACAAATACTTGTTTTGTTCCGTAATAACTTTTGATTAAAGGTGGGATGAACGTGGTTAACTCACTAATAGGTATACTGAGGATTACACGTTTAAATTTGTGTGCCCTAAGAGTAGTCTCATTTGTCTGATAGGAGGCAGGGTACCAAACCAAGCACCTGGCCTCAAACACCCACTTGAGAGCACTTGGAACCTGCAAAGGTAATACAGGAGGCAAAGGGCTTTTGTGAGCTTGCTTACAAAGGTATCTGATGGAACACAGGAAGCCTAAGCCCAAGGCCTCACAGTTCCACAAGAACTCACTTTATTGACCTCATGGTGATTGCAACACTGTGTAGCAAAGGAAATAGAAAAGTAGGATTCCAGATGATTTGCTACAAAATCAGGTGGTGTAGGGATGAACGGTATTTCAGGAGATTATTAAATCAAGAGTTTTTGTTGCATTGTGATAAATCTACAAATTTTGGTCATTTTTCTCACTTAATTACAATAATTGGACTTCCAGAAGACAGTTTCCTGGGAAAACAGATTCATTAGATGCATGAGAACAAACTGCCGAGAATGATATATTAGAAATGCTAAGTGAACACAAGCTAAGGAGACATCGGAGGTTTTCTGTAGGACTGTATACTGAGAGAGGTGTTAGCACCGCAGTATCCTCCTGGAAACTTAGATTCAGGGAATACACTGTTGTGTTTGAAGAGTAGCTTTCCAGGAGGTTTCCCTCCAGTCTGGATCTACATTATCTGATCTTAAAATGTTTAATCTAGTGAAGTCCAGCTGCTCCAGTCTTTGTGTTCAGCTTTATATGAAGAAATAGATTTCTTTCAGAGTTCTGATATATACCAAAGTGTATTTGCTGTCCACAGGGAGAGTTTTGTCATGAAGTTGAGTTAAAAGGAAAAATCTTATGAATAATTCCAACTGGTAAGGATAATTACTTTAAAAAGGACTTAAACTGAAAATTGAAATTAATTGAAAATGAAAGAGCACATGAAAATATGTTAACATGCAGTGACAGAGTATGGATTCAAAAGAAGTTCAAGAATAAAGTTATAAATGCTGCATTACTGATGTTTAATCAGTTATAATTTGAATCCTGAAACATAATGATAGACTAATACAGCACCATCTGTGTATGAATGATGAAAAGCTTTGTTATTTTGAAATACCTGATATGAAAAAAATGTTGATTGATTCAAAATCCACTCATATTAGCCAAAAAAATTTCAACATTATACTTGCCATAAGGGAGAAGTTGTATGATATGGAGAATGATTACACACTTGAAGTAAAGTAGGAAACATTTGAACCATTCAAATTCTCAGTATCAACAAGAAAGGAGTTTCCATCAAGTAGAGAAAAATGTCATGTTTCCCACCTTGTTGTCCATTTTTTCACTGATAGTGACAGTCTGTTTTGAAGAGATCATTATTCAAAGTCCTAGTCAGGAATTGCATGCAGTCATTTCATTGTTGATATTAGTATGAAAACGAATGTCAACAAGTCCTGAGAGTGCCAAAGTTACAGTACCATTTGATCCACTTTGTTACTTGATAAAGTATATTTTATTCCATCGGCCTTGATCAAAGAATGTACCTGTGAAGCTTAAGCTCATTTACTTAGAATGGATCCACTTTCTAAACCTATGCAATCTGGGAATATACAAGAACTTTGCACGGCATGGTCTGCTTTGTTAAGAGCACCTGCAGATAGGATGACAGATACTGGTATACATGATCAGGTTTCACAGAATATTCATTGTGGATGAAAATCTTAGCAGTATTGTGGAATGGGGTATCATAAACATCAACAGAACTGAAGACACAGAGCATGTGATGACTATCGTTTGTCTAAGAAAAGAGTTTGGCATTTAGGTTACACCCAACATATTAGTTCCTCACTTTTTGGTTGGTCTTGTCTTTTTTTTTTTTTTTGTATCATTAATCTACAATTACATGAGCAACATTATGGTTACTAGACTCCCCCCATTATCAAGTCCCCACCACATACCCCATTACAGTCACTGTTCATCAGCATAGTAAGATGCTATAGAGTCACTACGTGTCTTCTCTGTGTTGCACTGCCCTGCCCTCCCTGTACTGCTCTCCCCTACACCATGTGTGCTAATCGTAATGCCCCTTTTCCCCTCTTATCCCTCCCCTCCCATCCATCCTCCCCAGTCCCTTTCCCTTTGGTAACTGTTAGTCCATTCTTGGGTTCTGTGAGTCTGCTGCTGTTTTGTTCCTTCAGTTTTTGCTTTGTTCTTATACTCCACAGATGAGTGAGATCATTTGATACTTGTCTTTTTTCCACCTGGCTTATTTCACTGACTGTAATACCCTCTAGCTCCATCTGTGTTGTTGCAAATGGTAGGATTGTTTTCTTCTTAATGGCTGAATAATATTCCATTTTGTATATGTACATCTTCTTTATCCATTCATCTACTGATGGACACTTAGGTTGCTTCCATTTCTTGGCTATTATAAATAGTGTTGTGATAAACATAGGGGTGCACATGTCTTTTTCAAACCGGGCTGCTGCATTCTTAGGGTAAATTCTTAGGAGTGGAATTCCTGGGTGAAATGGTATTTCTATTTTGAGTTTTTTGAGGAACCTCCATACTGCTTTCCACAATGGTTGAACTAACTTACATTCCCACCAGCAGTGTAGGAGGGTTCCCCTTTCTCCACAACCTCGCCAACATTTGTTGTTGTTTGTCTTGTGGGTGGTGGCCATCCTTACTGGTGTGAGGTGATATCTCATTGTGGTTTTAATTTGCAATGATTAGCGATGTGGAGCATCTTTTCATGTGTCTGTTGGCCATCTGGATTTCTTCTTTGGAGAAGTGTCTGTTCAGATCCATGCCCATGTTTTAATTGGATTATTTGCTTTTTGTTTGTTGAGGTGCGTGAGCACTTTATATATTTTGGATGTCAACCCTTTATTGGATATGTCATTTATGAATATATTCTCCCATACTGTAGGATGCCTTTTTGTTCTATTGATGGTGTCCTTTGCTGTATAGAAGCTTTTCAGTTTGATATAGTCCCACTTGTTCATTTTTGCTTTTGTTTCCCTTGCCCGGGAAGATATGAGATATGTTCATGAAGAAGTTGCTCATGTTTATGTCCAAGAGATTTTTGCCTATGTATTTTTCTAAGAGTTTTATGGTTTCATGACTTACATTCAGGTCTTTGATCCATTTCGAATTTACTTTTGTATATGGGGTTAGACAATGATCCAGTTTCATTCTCTTACATGTAGTTGTCCAGTTTTGGCAACACCAACTGTTGAAGAGGCTATCATTTCCCCATTGTATGTCTATGGCTCCTTTGTCATATATTAATTGACCATATATGTTTGGGTTAATATCTGGACTCTCTTGGTTGGTCTTTTCTTATGGTTATACTAAGAAGTAATATTGAAGATAAACTCGATAATCTCCTGCTTTTGAGAACATGCCAATATGTCAAAATATCTACTAGAATTTAAAAAACTGAATAATCTCTACACTGCTCTAAGGACCCAACTATTCATGGGGATGGTCCAAAGGGCATATATGAGGAAAGCTTATGCAGAGTGAAGTGGAAGCAGGTGAGCTGAACAGTGAATCCAGCCAGGATCACAAACTTCTCTCAGAAAATGAAAACAGTTGGGAGATTCCGTTGGAGGAGATAATGATTCTGAAAATGGATAATGTACTGAGGAAACTTGTAAAGCCAGCTTCTCACAAGACACACAGAATTATAGTTTACATTCCAGCTGAACAACTTAAGGCAGTTGTGATACAAACTACATCAGAAATCCTATCAGGAACATTCGATCTGGTGATAGACAGCTTAGGCTAGATGAAAGATCTGTTCTTTGAGCTGGGATCCTGCAATAAAAATGCCACTTGAGAGTTTAGGAAAATATGAGAAGTGTAGAATATAAACCCTCTAAAAATATTTTGAGAAATTAAAAGATGGCATTGAACTTTTTAAAGGAGAACACCTAGGTGCTAAAGATCCCTGATATTATCCAGATTGTAAAAAAACCACTAGGAAATTGGGTTTGTGGCCTCAGTGTCCTGTCCTTATTACGTCTCAAGTGACTTTCTTACAGTAGACAGTGGAGACACAGTTGGGTATCTCAGCTGGTTTTCCTGTCAATGACTTGGACATGTTGGAATCCTGATGGATCCAAGTGCAAGCCCTTGCCCTGTAGTTCAGTTGCTGTTTCTAGCAGGTAGGAGGAAGGCAGTGTACTGCCTTTGCAAGAAAAAAAAAATATGAAGGATGGTATTATTTTGATGACTGTAGGGTCTCAACTGCATCGGAAGGCCAGACTGTGTTGAAAGTACTATATGTACTCATCTGCCAGAGATAAGACCCTTTCAGCAGAACTGGTTTTTCCTTCCACAAGCATCCCATTTAGACGGTGGTGAAGTTGGCAGTGTTGATGACAGTGGTATAGAAAATGAAAACTATCCACACTGAAGGCATAAAGAAGAGACTTTCCTGCTGGTGCTATCTGCTGAAGCCATGAAGTTATCCACCACATGAAAACAAAAGTTTGAGATAAGATTTACCTGCAGCAGATTTTAACTTGTGTAGGACTTAAAGTGAGATACAATGAAAACTTTAATAGTAGTATCTCTATAGTGTTGAATTACAACTTACATACATATTGGAATGTAAAAATAAAGATGCAAAAACTTAGAAACAAAAAATGCTGGCAAGGATGCGGAGAAATAGGAAACGTCCTACACTGTTGGTGGGAATGCAAATTCGTGCAACTGCTCTGGAAAGCAGTATGGAGGTTCCTCAAAAAGCTAAAAAGAGAAATACCATTTGACCCAGTAATTCCACTCCTGGAAATTGACCCGAAGAAAACACAATCCCTGATTTGAAAAGATATATGCACCCTTATGTTTATCACCATACTATTTGTAATAGCCAAGATATGGAGACAACCTAAATGTCCACCAACAGATGAATGAATAAAAAAGATGTGGTACATATACACAATGGAGTATTACTCAGCCATAAAAAGAAATCCTGCCATTTGCAACAACATGGATGGATCTAGAGGGTATTATGCTCAGTGAAATAAGCCAGGTGGAGAAAAACAAATACCATATGATTTCACTTATTTGTGGAATATAAAAACAAAGCAAAACAGAAGGAACAGAACAGCAGTAGACTCAGACACTGAGAAGTGACTAGTGGTTACCAAGGAGTAGGGGTTGGGATGGGTGTAGAGGAGGAGGGAGATAAAGGGGCACAATAATTCACAATCACAATATAAGGTGATTACAGGGACTGTTGAATCACTGTGATGTACATTTGAAACAAGCATGATTGTATATTAATGACACTTAAAAAAAAGATGCAAAAATTGCATTTATAAAAGGTAGTTCAAATATCTCACTTTAAAAGGTTGAAAGTACATTTGTAGGTTGTACATAAACTCAGAATGTACTATTTTTCTTAATGCAGTGTCCTCTATTTCTGATCAAAAGTTGGTGAGTTTTCAGTGAGCGCCCAGCCTCCACCCCCCGCCCCCTAGTGTCCAGTCCAGGTGGTGTCTTGTGTGTGTGCCTGTACTGGAAGCGGTTGGGAAGCCCTGCTTTGTTGGCCTTTCAGGGTCCTTGCTAGTTACCGTTGATACTTTACCTGCCTCCTTTCTGGCCATTCACCCACCCCTTGAACTAACCGTCCTTGCAGTGCCATGATATTGGTGTGTATTGGTTCTGTCAGAGCATTTTGTTGGGGTGCCTTGTGTACACGCTTCTCTTCTTTGATACACTGAGCTCTCAGTAGCCTCTTGACATCCTAGTCTTGACTTGTTACCTAGAAAATCCATTTCCATCGTGATTGCTCCAAGTACCATCCAGGGTTGGTAATTTTCCTCCTGTTCAGTTTGAGTGATTCTCGCATGTTCCACTGTGTAGAATTTGTTTCAGGCAAAGTTGGGGGAAAAAAATGACTCAATATTTTTGTTACAGGGCAAAAAGCAAACAACAACAAAAAAGAAACCTGGAAAAAAACAACTTTGTACAAATAACCCCAAACACACAAACCCCCATTCCCCCAAGCCCAAAAAATCCACCTCCCAGGAGGAAGTAGAGTAGCTTATCAAGACTTTGGTGCCATCTGATGGATATTGATTTGATCACAACTGAATCTTGCCTGATTTAATTATCTGAGAAACCTTTTAAAAATTTGAGGATCGCATAATCGCCCTTACAGTTTTGCTGTTGGTTCACATTTATTCCTCAGCTTTGATATATAATTCACATATATGATGCAAAGTGCACAATCCAGTGATTTTTAGTATATTCAGCTATTTAACCACTACCACAATATTAGAACGTATTTCATCATCCTAAAAGGAAAGCCTGTACCCTTTAGCTGTTGCCCCCAATCCATACACTTTCTCCCATCTTTATAGATTTGCCTATTCTGGACATTTCATACAAATAGAATCATGCAACATGTGCCATTCTGTGTCTGCCTAATTTCACTTAGTATGTTTTCAGGGTTCGTCCATGCTGCAGCGTGTATCAGTGCTTCCTTTCTTGAGAGGGCTGAATTTGGTCCTTTCTCGAGAGGACTGAATTTGGTATACCATTTGATGAGTATGCCATAATTTAGTCATCGATTGATGAATATTTGGGTTTGTTTGCAAACATATACATGTATTTGTTTTACAGAATGGGATTTCACTATGTACATTTTCCCAGCTCCATTCAGAAGTGTCATAGGCATTTTTGTTTATCATTCATTACAGCAGTCATATATACATCTGGGAAAATCATTACGTGCTGCATAAGATTTTTCTTTGTATATCCAGACAGTGCTTGGTGTACACCTGGGTTCACAGACCCTGTGAAGACTTAGCCCACAGCTACTGGCTTAGTCTTCTTACCTAAAAAGTTAAATTTGCTGTCCATTTTGGTTAAGACACAGTGTGTTCAATTTTCTTTTCTTTTTTTTAAAGCACTCACTGAAAATGACCAAGATAGCCAGTCGCCATTAAAGAATCCTCTTTTGTCAACGTCAAGACCCCTGGTTTTGGGGAAGTCAAATGGCATGTATATCTTTCACTGTTATTCCCTCAAGCACATCCCTAAAATTGTTAAGAGCAGGTGACTTCATTGCTCTTCTTGGAAGCCTGTATTTATTCCCTGCTTCTTGTGAATTCATAGAGTGCCCTACTTTCAGAGGCCAGAAACACTCCAAGCTGCAGTGTACCGGTGACTTGCCCCCCAACCCCTACCATCGTGCTTATTCCTCTTGCTTAATGTTTCAGGGGCCCCCTGGTAGCAAGAAGTCACCCAGCCACCACACTCCATTCGTGGTCAGTTGTACACAATTGTACACTGATGTCCTCTGCTTCAGTTCATAAATGGTTTTGCTGAGTGGAATTCTGCATCCCCTCACCTCTCCCTTCTACAGGTTTCCCTTTTAGTTTTCATTGAATTTCTTTAGACTAAAATATGTATTTTATTTCCTTTTTTCTGAAGGTGATGCTGATTATCAGAAACAGCTGAAGCAGATGATTAAGGATTTAGCCAAAGAAAAAGATAAAACTGAAAAAGAACTGCCCAAAATGAGCCAGGTATGGACTTTATGCACAAAGTCAAATTTTTTTGCCAAGTGATTGATCCAGAGGTAAGCTTGACCATTAAGCTGGGACCCCTTTACCTCCAAAGCCATAATTAAAGGATCTTTTACCTTCTGGGAACTGAACATTGTGATTAAATGGGTAATGTCTGAATTTTGGTCTGTTCCTATACCCCCAGCTCTTCAAAACAGAGGGCTGCTGTACATTTCATGTCTCTTGAAGAGTTTTTATAATGAAACTTATTTACCCAGGTTGTAAAGATTTATTCCCTAGAGTGATAGGAACATTTGGGGGCAGTTAATACAACATTCTTCCCTAAAAAAAAGCATTACTTCACCATTTTCTTGAAAACCACTAACCATGTAACATGACAGTCTGAGTCTCCTAAACCTATGATCATGCTCCAGAAAAGGGTTCTGGGCTACATTCAAGTGCCATATGATGGTGGTAAGTCACTGCTTTATTTGAAAATTATTGCCCCCAATGTTTGGGAAATGGAGGTTTCAAATGGAAACATTCCTTTATTACAGGACTAAAATCTTTTTGGTGCTAATGTGTACTGTGAGTCTCCAAGAGTGGAATTTGGCATGCAGTGTTTTTGCCTCTCAACCATAAAACTTCTCATGGCATCCATGTTCCCTCGCTTATCTGAGAAGTGGTGGTCTTTGCTGTGTAGTTTTTTTCCCAATTATCTTTGGATATGTTCAGTTATGTCAATGTTGTATGTCAATTATACCTAAAAAAAAAGCCATTATGCCTCATAACACAGAGCTGTATTAACATTGAGACACTGATTTTCTTTTTTACTATAAACAGAAATGGATTGTGTTAATTCCTTTTTACTTAAAAAAATAATCATGGATGTTTCTCCCTAATCATTATTTATGAATTAGTAGTACTCAACCATATTCCTGTTCTTAGAATAACCAAATACCACCTCAAGCATCTCCTCACATTACAGACTCTGAAGGTGTGCATGGCATTTGAGAAAACATTGGGCATCCCTGCTCAACTTCACCTTACAGCCTTTAGTGGCTGCGTGGTACTCCCACCAGATGAGCAAAGCCATTTCATTTAGTCATGTCTCCAACTTTTTCTATTATAAGCCTGAGCTTGCTATCCTTATGGATAAACCTCTGTGCATAGCTTCTGGATACAGTCCTATAGGCTGACTTGGCTGGGTTCAAGGATGTGCCCATCCTCCAGAATATACACACTTATTAATAGTTGCTGTAAAGACAAAAGCACACTTGTAGGTGTGGCAGAATTCCCTGGCATCATTGCTAATACTGTTCTCAAAGGGCAGAGACCATCTTTTCTTATACTCTGCTTCAAAGAATACTATGGTTTTCTCCAAGAACTAAGTATAAAGTTTAAAAAAATTGCATTTTCATCCTGGTTATGCTGCTATATATACTTTATTTTTAATTCCAGAGAGAATTTATCCAGTTCTGTAAAACTCTGTACAGTATGTTCCATGAAGACCCAGAAGAAAATAACCTGTATCAAGCCATTGCCACGGTGACCACTCTGCTGCTGCAGATTGGGGAGGTAGGGCAACTCCACAGCAGCTCTGGGAGCTGCTCCCAGGAGTGTGGGGAGGGGCTGCAGGCTTCAGCTCTTTCTCCGGAGCAGGACTCAGTTTTTGCTGAAGCTGACACTGCCACAATTCCCCAGGACTCCCATGCATTTCCTGAAGAGGCAGAAGGGGACTGGACTGTCTCCCTTGAACATATTTTGGCTTCACTTCTGACTGAACAACCATTAGTCAACTTTTTTGAAAAGCCACTGGACATCAAATCCAAACTTGAAAATGCAAAGACCAATCAGTACAACCTCAAAACTGTAGAAATGAGCCGCCAATCACAGCCTGAACTCAAACTGAGAACTGCGGAGCAGGACGGTGGGTCACTGAGCCGAGTCGGCCACACCAAGGCACAGCCCACAGTTTCGTGGGTGATCAGCCCCTAAGCCCAGATCTCAGTGGAATTCATTTTGAATGTTTTACAAGCTGCATAGCCAGGTAAGAAACGTGGTGTCCACAACTGATGCAGCCCTCAAGCATTTCTATTTATTACCTGTTGGATACTGTCAGTGCTATGGAGTATCCACACATCAGGTCCCTGGATGCTGTGACTTGCAATTTCACTTTCATTAGATTTGCTGAAATGGGCATTTCTAGTGTGATGCTCTAGTGCCCTTTTGTTCTCAGATGGAACTTGAGTCAGCTGTATCATACTCAATCCTGGAGAAGCCCACGCTCTTATTTTTCACTTGGCTAATGGGAGAAAGCAAGAATCAAGTTCACTTTCAAGATCTAAGAGCCCCTGTCTGTGCAATTGTATTATGCTTTTCCTTGCACTAATTTTGTTTCAATGCTGGTAATTGAAACCATTTTAATATATATTTTGTTGTATTTACTTTGTGTTCTTATGAAATGTGTACAAACCATGCTTTCAAATATTAGCCCCAGGTTTTTTAATAAGAAATTTTTGTATTGACTTTGTCCTTGTTTATATGTAATTTCAGTGTCTAAGGTCTGGATTGTCAGTGGTAAAATGGAAATGTCTCCCCTGTCATGCAGCACAGGTCACTGCAGGAGGTGCCCAGGCCCACTGTCACTGCACTGCCATCTCCAATAGGGGACACAAGGGAGCTTTTCTGCAGGCTTTAATATACATCACTGCTGTAAACACTGAAGAAATAATCTTACACCTTGCTTTCAGGCTGAATTTATTAGCAGGGCTTTAGCTCCATGTAACCTGGCAGTCAAAATACCTCATGGGACCACTGTAAGTGAACTAAAATAGGAACTGAACAGTTAAGCATAATCTGGTTATCCTATCAAAACCTATTTTAGAAGTCTGTACCTTTTTTTTAAAATTAAGGTATCATTGATGTATATAATCTTATGGTTTCACATGAGCAATATTGTGGTTTCAGCATTCACCCATATTATCAAGTCCCCACCAACCCCATTGTAGTCACTGTCCATCAGCATATTAAGATGCTATAAAGCCACTACTTGTCTTCTCCATGCTGTACTGCCTTCCCTGTGACCTACCTATACTGTGTGTGCTCATTATAATGCCCCTCAATCCCCTTCTCAGATTCTGAGTCTGCTGCTGTTTTGTTCCTTCAGTTTTGCTTTGTTGTTATACTCCAAAATGAGGGAAATCATTTGTTATTTGCCTTTCTCCACCTGGCTTATTTCACTGAGCATAATACCCTCTAATGCCATCCATGCTGTTGCAAATGGTAGGATGTGTAGGATTTGTTTCCTTTCTATTAGAAGTCTATACATTTCAACAAATATACACAATACATAACTGGGTAGGAGCTTAAAGAAATATTGAATGTATTTCATTAAATCTAAGATACTATCAGATGAATGGACAAAGAAGATGTGGTACATATACACAATGGAATATTACTCAGCTATAAGAAAAAAACAGATCCTACCATTTGCAACAACATGGATGGAGCTAGAGGGTATTATGCTTAGTGAAATAAGCCAGGCGGAGAAAGACTAGTACCAAATGATTTCACTCATATGTGGAGTATAAGAACAAAAGAAAATGAAGGAACAAAACAGCAGCAGAATCACAGAACCCAAGAATGGACTAACAGTTACCAAAGGGAAAGGGACTGGGGAGGACGGGTGGGAAGGGAGGGATAAGGGTGGGAAAAAAGAAAGGGGGCATTACGATTAACATGTATAGTGCGGGGGGTGGGGCACGAGGAGGGCTGTGCAACACAGAGAGGACAAGTAGTGATTTTACAGCGTCTTACTATGTTGATGGACAGTGACTGTGAAGGGGTATGTGGGGGGGACTTGGTGAAGGGGAGAGCCTAGTAAACATAATGTCCTTCATGTAATTGTAGATTAATGATACCAAAATAAAATTTAAAAAAAAACCTAAGATACTATATCAACTGCATCACTTTAGTTACTTAAAATGTGGAAAGTGGCCAATGACAATGGGGTTCTACATGCTAGTTTCTGGAAAAATGTTCACCTTTGATTTAATGAAACTTGAATGTTAAAGCATTCAAAACATCACACCTCCAATGTCCTAAATACCTAAACAGTCATTCTCAAGGCAGGTTGAACTTCAACATGACCTTTAAAAACGTGTTTTGGCCCTGTCCAAATAAAACTCCAGCAGCTGGAAGAAAAGGGTGCAGGTGTAGTATTTAGGAAAAATACTTTCCAAATGATCTTGTAATTAGAACCTTACTTTAAGATACATAAACACATTGCATAGAAAGTGGAAGAAGAAAACCAAACCCGAATGCAGTTTTTTAACTTTATTTGACAATCAGCTGTTAGTTCTCATCCACATTAACTGTCTGTAGATCTGGGGAAACAAAAAGAGCAACAGCCAGTCAGTCAACTTCCATACGCACACACCATGTTTTACTTTAACACTCCAGAAACCTTTTCTGGAAGGGTTTAGGCAAGTAATAGTATTGCACATGGCCTTTTTACTACTCAGGTATGGACCTGTTTTGTATCCTTCTGCATTTTCTACACTGGGACAATTAAAAAAGGGTTTCTTGATGTTGCCTGTTCTGCATAGGGAACCACTCAGCCTCCCTATTGGAAGGATGCCAGGCAAACAGGTGCTGGACAGATAAATTCACATTATAAAACAGCCAAGGGTATTTTTTAATTTAAATAGCTTTGTGGGATGGAATAAAACTTACTTTTGAAGGTGGTGACAGGGACATAGGTAACCAACGTATAGAGTTTGTTTGGGGAATCTTCATCCTCATTACGTTTTCTGGACAACCGCACACGGATACGGTATGGGACGTTCCTAATAAAAATAAAAATTCTGCTAAAGTCAAAGCCAGCTCGATTCGCATACCCATCTCCACTTCTATAACATGCTCCCAATGCTCTGTCCTTGTCCTAACCTGACCCATCAGCCACTCAGGTGTCTTATCAGTTCCATGGAGGATAAACAGCCACAGGTGGACATTAAATGTTTATGTCTTGGCAGGCGGCCACCACTGATACCTAACTTAGAGAGAATGTGGGACCAAACACGCCAGCTCTCTTCCCTGTATCACCAACACCCAAGTCCTGCTTATGGGATTATCTGTTAAAACGTCAATCTGGACGAACACTAAAAACCCCATGGGCCATACTGAACATGTACCCAACATCTGAGCAGCAGCATTAGGGCTGACTCTCCTTTTTCAATTTAAGGACACGAGGTGTTCTGACACTCAGGAGTTCTCCTGGCTCATGTGATACCACTCCCCCCATCTCAAGGGAGCTCGCTGGCGGCTCCTTTATCAGACAAACCCTCAGTGCTGGCCCCCTGCAGGGCTGCATCAGCTCCATTATCCCACCAACCTTAACCGTAAAATACTACAGTCCCCCGCACCCCGGTCCAGGCTCATGTAACCACTCAGTCCACGCCAGCACCAATCCCTTAGCTGGTCCCACTTTGGCCCTGGACCTTGTGTAGCCCTCCACTGTAAAAACCACCTTTCTGCTTAATTAAGCAGGGTCTGAATCTCAGCACTGCTACATCTGAGTGGGATAGCTCCTTGTGGTGGGGATGAGACCTTGTGTGCCGTAGGATGTTTAGTAGAATCCTTGGCCTGCGGCGACCCAGGAGTGAGAGCCAGCAGTGCCCCTGGGGGAGTGTGGGTAAAACTGCCCACTTGTCTTTGCTTTGACCTGTAAGACCCACATCTGTCCCCTGCCCAACTGTCCACCCTCATTCACTGTTGTTCAAGTCACTCCACTCCACCTAGGCTGACCTCTGCCCCCGGATCACACCAAGTTTGACTCTCTCTGCAGTGCTCTTACAGACCCTCATACTGCTGCTCACTCAGCACTGGGGTCTCTGTTCAAATGCCACATTACAGGGCTTCCCTGCAGACTCTGCCCCACCCGGAGTCACTGTCATAATTTAATACTTCCGTATGCATTAGCTAATGACTGACATACAGACTGTGGGATGAGGTGGTTGAGCAGTGTGACTGTGTAACACAGTTTAGGTAACACAGGTAACTTTAGCACCTTATTCCTTTGGCCCAGACGGCTTTGTTGAGCCTGGTGTCAATGCGCACATCTGGAGTTCCCATCTCCTTCATGGCAAATTTCCGGATCTCTTTGAGTGCCCGAGGGGCACGCTTCTTGAAACCCCTTAAGTTTCAAACATAAGTAAATAAACGAATTGCATGTGTACAAAATAAAATGAAACACATAATATAGTACGTTCTATTTTCATAAAACATTCTAAACCAAACCTTAACAAGGGAGGAAAAATCTTTTTATACACCATTGTAATGCCCAGCACCTTAGTGTTAATACCGGGAACACTGAAGATGCACAACCCACTTTCAGTGATATACAGTCAGAGCTCCTTATTATGACCCTCAGGAGTCGCTAATGTGCACACTAGTCAACCCTTTCCTGATAAACACACATCCGGGCTCTAGTAGTATCACCTCCCAAGGACAACATGATCAAAGAAATGACATTAGAAGACGCTTGCACATAAAATACACAACACTTAAGTAAATATGTGTCCTCAGGTCAAAATGGAGTTACGTGAAAACCCAAAACTACAAGCTGAAATGATCAAGCATTTGGATAAGTGAAGGCCATTCCAAGTCGGGCAAAGACCAAAGTCTAAAGAGGTGTCCCATCACCCCAGGACTGGACATCAGGAAGAGGCCATGCCGAGTACTGGCTTCTCCAACACATGGCACAGTGCCTGGCACTTCACAGGGCCCCACACTTGTGTATGAAACAAACCTATGAAATCCAGTAACACTAACACATGGAGCATGCCAAAGTGACAGAATCCTAAGACCTTTGTGACTTCCCGTGGCCTACAACACATGACTCCCCACACACCCCCACTTCACTTTGCTCTACCATGCCTCTCCCTACTCCCTCTGTTCTACCCTTGCCGGCCACCTTGTTATTTCTAGGGTATATCAAGCAACCGCACTTCACTTACTCAAATACTTAAGGAGCTAGAAATAAAAGGTGCTGGAATCAACAGTAGTAGCTCTAACAGACTAATCTCGTTCTTCTCATAGCTTATGTGGGCGACACACAGAGTACATGAAACTGCATTTTAAGTAAGACACCCAAGGACACATCAGAATAAAAATCTAAGATAATGATGGAAGCCACTCAGGGATCCGAGAAAAGCATTCAGGCAGAGGGAAAAAAGTAAACATAAAACCAGTTACTCTGAATCAGGTACATGTCTGGTATAATTAATAAGAGAGTAAGTGCCCAGCTCTGTGGAAACACAGCAAGAACTTTGGCTTCTACAAGTGAAATGGGAAGGCAATGGAGGGTGTGAGAACAGACCAGGTGTTTGGGGGTCGGGAGGGAACCAGGAGCTGCTAACTGGAACCATCCAACACAGAGAGAGAGGATGGTGGTGGTACCAGTGCAGTGGGCTTGGCAGTGGAAGGCAGAGCCATCAGGACACGCTCACTTGTGCACAGTGAAACAGAGAAGGCCATGAGAGAAACAGAAAGGTTAGGAGTTTGGTTTGAGAGGCCTATAACACCCAAGCGGAGACGTTAACAGGGGCTGGGCATTTGAGGCCCTAAGACTAATTGCTGTTACCAAGAGTAGATGGAAAGCAGAGGGGCTGAGTTCTGGCACTCAACATTAAGAAGACGGGGTGTGAGGAGGAACCAACAAAAGAGACCGAGAAGGAGCAGGTAGAAGCGTGGGGTCTTTGGACATAAAAGGAATAAAGCATTTTCTACAGAAGAATGAACTGCCAGTTGCTGCCAATCAAGTCAGGCTGAGAAATGACCAAAGGATTGAGTACCATGTAGGTCTCCACTTGGGGATTTTGTAACAAAGCACAAAGTATCTGAAACACTTCATCACCTGTAATGGCTCACAGCACACTTTCCAAACATCCCATTATCTGTGTGGCCTTTAAAACAGCACCCTTTCCACCCAGTGACTTAATTTCCACTTGGCAGTTTTTACTGTTTTGTATCTAAATCTGGTTGCTGGACTTGCTGCACTAAGTAGCCTCTCTGGTTCCCTGCTGATCCGCAGGGCCCAGGACAGCTAAGTGCTGCATAAGCACCCCAAATGCATGCCTACCTGAAATAAAGGGGCCTGGGGTGGAACGTGCTTGTTCACAAGCAGTGTTAATGCACAGAAAAGGCAGTGGATTTTTGACCCAGAAGCCACCCGAGATCCCAATAAGACATGCTTACACACGGCCCTCACTCGGCTTGGAATGCAGAGCTGAAGTGCCCGCCCCAACGTGGACACCACTGCACATTTAAATCAGTCGCAGAATCAGCTGCCTCGAGACGAGGACTGCCCAGTGAAGTGCAAGAAATTCTGCTCCTTGGACTGGTGCCTGAGTATTTTGCCATGTAACATTTGCTATTACAAATACTCCAAAGTATACTCGAGAGATTTGGTCTCCATTTTCAGCTGTAAGCACCATACGGAAAAAGGGGGAAACTCACTAACTTTAAAACTAAAACCCAAACTCCAGTGCAAAAACCAAGGGTTAGATTATTGGTTATCATTCTCAATCTTCCTGTACATCACAAATGCACTCCCCCAGCGTCTTCAAAAACAAACACTGCCCTACAACCCCACCAATACATTCTTTTTCTGTCTCTCTCTGGTCCACTTCTGGTATTACAACTCAACCAACACAGAGCGCACATATCTGTGTGGGTCAGAAGGCTAAAGCAATCCATTTAAGTGTTCGCATTCCGGGTTGCTTTCCCTCCTACCCACGTCTTTCATCCTTTAGCCAGCCCAGGTCGAATTCAATTGCAAAGCACGGAGTGGAATGACTTTTATCACCACCAAGTTTTCCCAAAGTGGCTCCTCCCGAGTTTTATTATGCAATGTCAAGTTTCCAGTCACGAACCTCTGAGCGTCACACGTTAAACTCTATAAATCTTAAATAGGGTCTTCGGAATACAGATTTGTTAATATTAAGAAATGTTTAATTTCTAAGCACCCAGCCTTCAGTATTGGGCAGACCTCAGTGACACCGGAGGCTGAGCTCGGGAGCCCGTGCAAGCAGGAATCTGGCCCAGTGCAAGCATACTCACACTCCATGGATGCGCTTGTGAATGTTGATGGTGTATTCCCTGGTCACTACCTCGTTGATGGCGGAACGGCCCTTCTTCTTCTCGCCACCCTTCTTTGCAGGAGCCATCTAAACCAAGGAGACGAGCCGGCTCAGACCAGAGAGGACGCATTCGGTTGCAGAGGATCCGGCCATTCCCTGAAGCCCCGGGTCTGGGCTAAGCCAAGCCGCCCACGCCGGGTCCAAGCATCCGCGCCCCGCAGATGCCCCCACCCCGCAAACCCCTGCGGCCCCGGCTGCTCCAAGCCTGGTCGCTCTCCCTCCCAGGCTACGGGAGCCCTTAAATGTAGCGCGTATTCCCGTCCCCCCGGAACGCGGAGCCTCGGGCCGGTTCAGGACAGAGCCCGTGGTCCCGGTCAGCACACTCCGTGGCGGGGATGGAACCAGATCCCTGAAACCGGCACCTAGCGCCCATACCTACTCTGCCGGAGCCAGGTTCGCAAGGAAGAGCGCGACGTATTGTGGGAAACGGACAGCAGCGCCGCGAATACAACTTCCGGGTCGCCTGGAGGCGGCGGGCTTGGGGGTGTGGTGGGAAAGGGTGGAGGCGCGGTGCAAGCGGCTCTTACGTACGTGACGCACGCCGCGCGACCCGTGGAAGGCGAGCGGCCTTGGGGGGCGGGGCCCGGGCTGGCCGCAGCTGCGCGCTCCCGCCGCGCGCCCCAGTGTGTAACGCCGTGCGCTCTGTCTGCTCCCTGCGGCGGAGTTTCCTCCTGCTCCGCGCGTGGGAGGCGCAGGAGGGATTTGAGGGTTTTGTCTAAGTCTTCGGAGGGAGCCAGAACTCAAGCCACCGTTGGATAGGAGCAGGCCCGGGAGGAGCAGCCGCTCTTTTGTTTTTCCCAGTCTCTCATTGATTCGGCCACCGTTAACTGAACGTGTGTGCAGCGCCGTGCAGATGAGCAAAATACAGCTCGCTGGCGGGTGCTCACCGTCTCCCGCGACAGGAAGGCTGTAGGCAGGCTTCAGCGCTGGAGCAGGGGCTCTGGGATCACGTATGTGAGGCAGGCCTTGGTGGAACGCAGGCAGGTAGAACTCAAGGCCACAGTAAGAAGTACTCGGGAGGGAACTAGTGTCATGGATCCGCAGTAAACAAAAAGCCACATTCTGGACATCTGGAGAATTCAGCCTGAGAAATAAGGAATTCTTTTTATCCCATCCAGGTCCCTTTCAAGAAGCTTGAAATCCCGTAGACAGTGCCAATCTTAACGGGGTCTTCCCTTTGAGCCCCTCCTAATTAGCGGGAGTCTTTCTTTTCAACTCATTAAAATTTTTGCTGGTTGCTCCGTACTCATCCGCTGGCTTCATCCTTCGAGACACGATCCTGGGAAGAACGGTAACATCTCCACCGGCATCATCTTTTGGGGGCTGGTTCAGGATAAGACGTCGAAGGGTGAGTACTGGTTGCAACGAGCATCTTTCTTGCGCTGTCCTTTTTTAAAGCCATGCGGAGTGCGCGTAACACCGAGTACCTGTCAGCCAGTTAAGAACAATTAGCATGACTGCGAACCTTAAGAATCTGGCGTTAGGTTCCTCTGAGTCCTGCTTGGTTGATCCCCCAAGGCCTGGGAATGTCAGCCGAGTGAGGGTCAGAATTCTCTTTCAAAGCTATCCTTGAATGCAAGGGGCTGAGGGAGACAAGCAGACAACTGCGAGATCCTTGCTGAGTCCACTCCTCAGGGGACACTGTAAAGTCTTCTTTCAAAACTCAGACCCCAACTGCCCAACTGGATATTCTTAAGGAGCTGCTTCTCCTTTTCTGTCTCGCTCACCTAAGAAGGTGGGGGAGGCTCGGAGGAAGGTTCCCCTGAGTATCCTCATTTGTGAGAGTGACTTGGGCAACTTCCTGCAAGCCCCCATGGAATCACCCTACACAGATCAAGTGATTCTTTACCCTCTGTCGTGAGATGATTTTCCCTCTCTGGGACCTTTCTAGCGCCTTCTTCCACACTCTCTATACTCGGTATTTAGGATAATTCAGCACCTATCAATCTGGTAGGATATTGGGCACAATTCTTACTCCTTGTCTCTGGTGTCCTATACGAGATGTAAAAGCAGATGTCTGGGTGGTCCCCACTTGAAAGAAACAAATTGTCCCATGGATCCCAGCCCTGGCCGTGAGGTGCCAACTGGGCAGAGGATTCTGACCCCTTGATTATGGGAGAGGAATGACCTTCTTGTGTCACCATCTATTGAGGTGTCAGTAGGGTACAGGATTGGAAGACTGGGTCAGGTTTGAGTACGACCTGATAATCATGACCTCCTGTGTGCTGCTTCTGAGTTACATGCAGAGTGGCTATTGTTCCCACTTTTTCCTGTTTCAACTGGACAACTTTCTCAATCTAAGCTCCAGGGTCAGGAAGGACCTCCTCAGCACTCAGTGGGTCAGGTCTCCTGCCCTAGTGGAAAATACCTTACGACATCTCTTATGGCGATGGTTCCATACCATGGCACGGGAGGCATACCAAGATCTGTACTTCAGACTGAGAACTGGACAGTTGCATCTCAGACCGAGAGGGCCCAGTGTCCGTCCCTGGATGGCTCAGTGGCACCACAGTGTGACTATGCCTCAGGTCTGGGAATGGACCCTCCCCTGATGCTGTCATGAGTATGGGAGGGGGCACAGACTTCCCTGTAAGAGGGAAGGGACAGGCCAAGCGATGCCTTGTCTTTCAGACACCAGAAACAGAAAAGGGGATGGATGCCCTTCTCTTCTCTGGTGTCTTTCAGATAGGCAACTCAGAGTCTGAGACCACTTTGGTTACTATTCTTCTGGGAGTTCATTTGTGGAAGTAGGAACCTGGAGGGTAGGATATGCAGTAGTATCTCTCACTGAAACCATTGAGAGTTACCCCCTTTCTCCAGGAACCAGCACCTAGTTGGCAGAAGCTCTAACTGGTTTCTGGAAGTGAGTAGGGGACAGAAGGCTAACATATACACTAACTGTAAATATGCTTTCCTAGTTCTCCATGCCCATGCTGCAGTTTGGAAAGGAACTCCCTCAGTGCAAATGCATCCCCTATTAAATATCATCATGAATTGGCTTCTATGCACTGTGATCCTCCCCAAGGAAGTGGCAGTTATACATTGCTGGGGGTATCAGAAGGGAGCAGATGAGGTGTCAGAGGGAAACCGAAGGGCCAACTATGCAGCCTGAGAGGCAGCCTGAGCAACCCAGTCTACCTTCACTATAGCCCCCCTGTTGGGGGAGCATTCCCTAAGTCAAACCCCAGTATTCCCAACAAGAGACAGATATGGCTTTCCAAGAGGGGTTAATCTTGTAGACCTCAGGGTGGTTCCAAATCGAGGAAGGGAAGCTTCTCTTGCCATCAGCCAACAGGTTAAATACTCTCCCCCAGTCCTTCCATCTTGGGAGGGATGGGACCACCAGCTGGCCAGTAGGTTGTTCATTGGGACAGGGCTTCCAGATACCATTAAGACAGATAACAAGCTCCTGTGAGGTATGTCAGAAGAACAATTCCCTCAACCATCGATTAGCCTTGACAGGGATACAAAGGACTGGGATGTACCCAGGAGAGGATTGGCAAATTGACTGTACACACATGCCCAAGGCTAAGGGAGTTCAATATCTACTTGTATGGGTGGATACTTTTACTGGGTGGTTAGAGGCCTTCCCCTGCAGGACTGAGAAGGCAACGGAGGTAGTCCAGACCATAGTAAACGAGATTATCCCCTGGTTTGGATTGCCCAAAAGCCTGCAGTGATAATGGGCCGGCCTTTAAGGCTATAATCACCCAGGGAGTCTCCTTAGGTCTGGGAATACAGTATCACCTCCATTGCTCTTGGAGACCCCAATCTTCATATAAAGTAGAAAGAGCAAATGCAATCACAAAATGACACCTAAGGAAACTGACCCAGGAAACAGAGCTCCCTTGGATTGCCCTTCTTCCCATTGCACTCCTATGTGTCAGAAATACCCCTCAGTGAGCAGGCCTTAGTCCCTTTGAGCTGCTGTATGGCAGGCCTTTCTTGACCAATGACTTCCTCCCCAATACAAAGACAGCTGCACAAGTAAGGCAGGTCACCTCCCTGGCCCATTTCCAATGAATGCTTCAGAAACTGGAAGAAGCTCAAAAGAGAAGGGAAAGAAAGCCTTTATTTGAGCCAGGAGACTTGGTCCTGGCCAGGAAAGTGTCCCCTATCTCCCCTTCCCTCTCACCTATCTGGGAGGGACCACACACTATAATCCTCTCCACTCCCACTGCAGCAGAAGTGACGGGACACAGTCTTGGATACATCACTTCCTACTGAAGCACTGGCTGTCTGAAAAAACAAGCTCCACTGTGAACGAGGAGGACTCCCTGCCTCAATATTCCTGCAAGCCTGTAGACGATCTGAAGCACCTTTTCAAGCAACAAACACCCAAGATAAGTACCCATGATTCCAGATTCCTGAATCTTTCTTGGCGTTGTTGTGGGAGTGGGACTTGTTATTTTCCATTTTCTCCTGTGTTATTGTGAACCTCCTTCCATTGGTTGGAAGTATTTCTGTCCCTGTTGGGTTTAAACCTTGAAAAGCAATGGCCTTAACCCCGTCATTATTACTATTATTGACTCCTTCCTTACTGGTTCCTCTCCAGGCAGCAGTGCATCCCCTAACTCCGGTAATTAACAAAATTGCTAATCTAACTAACCAAACCAACTGCTGGATCTGCCCCCGCCGAGATCATCTGGAGGATGATATAGGTCTCCTTGGCATTCCGATATCACTAGAAACTATTGCTAATACTATAGCACAGTATTGGGGGTTTTCTTATACAATTTACACTACCACCAGAAATGCTGGGGTTGGTGGAGGTCCGCGACCCTTCGATCCACAGTGGGTCTCTCCAACACCAGCTGAACAAGTAGGCAAAGTCCATCGCCTAGCTGCCAAAGCCAGTCTGTGCTTCTCTAATTCCTGGGGCACTGGTCCTCTTTTAGGAGTCCTCAACTCTTCTTTCTGTAATACCACCTTTATGTATAATCATACCTTTCATGAGTGGGAACCACAATTCCAGGGGGATTCCATTGAAGAGGAAGATTTTGACGTCTTTAGCCTTACCCACACCACCACCTGGGAGCCATATTTCCGAGGCAACACCTCTGGCCTCTGGTTATGGTGGGGCAATAATAAATTCAATGCCACCAAACATTATGCTAGCGAGTCTTGGACCATAGTCAACAATTCATTGGGGCAAGAGACTCTTGGTATTGGAACTGAGACAGGGACAGTCCTCAACATCTCCAGTGGCAGTCCCCAACCTTACCCTCCCTTTAATGTCATTCAACTCATTTTCAGAAGCCTTCGCTGTCAGATTCCTCATACTCATAACCAGTCCGTTGCTGACTTCTCTCCCTTATGTGCAGATGATTATTTCACAGGCATACGACCCTCTACTTTTGACCCCTGGGGACCATGGGATCCTTCTATTTTAGCCAATTATAGTAGCCTCCCTACCTCACACAAATATGCTTGGCTACAAGGATGGTCCACTGGAGTCACACTGGCTGGAACCGGACTATTCTTCCTTTGTGGAACTAATGTGTACTTGACCCTGCCTAGGGGATGGAGAGGGCGGTGCACAATAATTGCAGCCATACCTGATGTACTGACTCTTAACAATACTTCCTTCCCCACCTCCGGGCAACTGCCTAACCTGGGATCCTTTCTGGATGTGTCACTGCGGCACCGGCCGAGACGAAGCCTAGTGCCCCAGACCCCTGATTTCAGTGGACTAGCCACCAATAACCCTATGTTAGAATTGAATGGCCTGGGATACTCCATATTCCGTGGCCTCTTTTGGTTTATAGGGATTCCCGAACTCGAGAGGAGCATTAGAAACATCTCCCTACTAATGCAGGGCACCTGGAAAGTGACAGTGGCCGCAATAGAAGCCCAGCAAAAAGCTTTGGATTCTTTAGCTCAAGTGGTCCTCCAGAATAGGAGAGCCTTATATTTGCTCACTGCTGAGGCCACTGGCACCTGTGCTATGCTCAATGAGACCTGCTGTTTCTATGTCAATACCTCAGGTCTAGTAGAAGAGAATCTAGAAGAGATCAAAAAGAATATCCACTTTTTTGATGAGCTAATGAAAAGAGAGACACAAGACTCCTGGCTAGTCCAGATCTTCAAATCCCTCATGGGGTGGGTGTAGCCCTGGTTGGCATCGTTCATTCCCCTCTTTAGAGTGGTAGTATTTGCTCTCATATTTGGACCTAGTTTACTTAATCTTCTAATTAAATTTGTGTCTTCTCACCTAGAAGCCATCAAGCTCCAGATGGTGATGCAAATTTAACCCCCATGACAGTCCCTCTCAGCTTTTACCAGGAGACACTAGATAGGCCACTCAGAGTGAATCCGAGCTGCCATTCCTCAGTCGTCGCCCATTGACAGCAGGAAGTAGCCTGAGCAGTCTTCGCCCTTCTCCCTAATGGCAGTATGGTTACCTCTTCTGATGGGGGATTGAGGCAGGACTTACTGGGACAGGCAGATAGAACTCAAGGCTCTGGTAAGGAGAAGTCAGGAGGGAACTAGGGTCAAGGCTTCACAGTAAACCAAAAGCCACATCCTGGACATCTGGAGAATTCAGCCTGAGAAACAAGGGAGTCTTCAGATACCATCCTGGTCCTAGCAACACCTCCCAACTGATCATATGGACTTGCCCCTTTCAAGAAGTTTATAATCCCCGAGACAGTGTCACCTTAACGGGCTCCTCCCTTGGAGCCCCTCCTGATTAGCAGGAGCCTTTCTTTTCACTCCTCATTAAAATCTTTTCTGGTTGCTCCACACTCTTGTCTGCTGGTTTCATTTTTCGTCGCCTCTGAGACACGATCCCAGGAAGAACAATAACGTCTCCACCGGTATCATAAAGAGCTTGGGCCTTTCCATCCTGTAATAGGATGAATGCTGCACCTCCATGTTTCTTAACTTCACTTAAAGCAGGAAGTGGAGATGGACAGGCAAACTCTCCCCATGTCCCCATGTAAGAAAACAAGGGCCTTTCCAGAAACCCCCAGCATCTTTCCACCAGTCATTGGGTGGTGTTGAGCCTCCCTTCTGATCATGGCTGAGAAAGCAAATACCTGCCAAAGACAAATGGGAAAGTCATGATTCCCTTAGCCTAATGATGGTTTTTGTTGTTTTTTTGGCCTGGCCAACACACATTGCTGTCCCACACAAAATGAGGGTTCTTTTAACAAAGAAGAAGGGGAGTTGCACTTTGTTTGAAACTAATGACACTTGCTCTCCTTTCCTTCTCTCCTCACACTGCCTATTTATTCTTCCTTGGGCTCAAGCACCTGAAACTTGCCTCAGGCCTTTCATACCTTAATGACCCTTTGGGATAACTTCTCTGATCCTGACCCCCTACTCCCACTCTCTGCAGGTGTGATCCTGTCCTTTGTAACTGGCTCACAGCATCTAGAGAGGAACTGAGCACTGACGTGTCCATGGCCACCATCCAAAAGGGGGGTGATAATGTCATCATCATACATCAGAATGGTCTGGTGCAAGCTGACTCAAGTTTGCATATAGCTGATGGAATGTGAGTAGATTCTACTTCTTGTTGCAGCAAACAGACCCTTCTAGTGGAAATCTACAAAATGGCCCACTCAGATGTCAACTCTGTGGCTTTAAGTAAATGTTGAGCACACATCTAACTGTGTGGTTTGAAGGACTGAAAATCCCTGGCCTGCCTCGGTTTCTCAGGTTTCTGTCCAGCCCTGCAGGCTCTTCCAGCTTCTCCTTTCCTTGGGTCATGCCAGTCAGTCACTGCTGGCCTCCCAAAGATCAGAGCCACTAGGATGAACTTCGTGTGCTTTTTAACTCTCCAGTGCCCATTAGCTGTGCTTCTTTCTCACCCATGACAGTTTACTTTTCGTGATTACTAAAGAATCCTTAAAATGAAAGATATGCTTTCCTGTGGAGGCAGCAAGGAAGAGGTGGAGAGGTTACATCCCAGTCCTCAACAGCCTCGGGGGGCATCAAACCGTAAGGGGCTGAAGGGTTCTGCCTTGACAGCTTCGTGCAGAGCTAACCTCCAGGAAGGTCCAGTGTTTTTTTTTAAAAGGAAGGGGATGTGGTGGTGAAGGTGCTAAAGGAAAATGTGTCTCAAAGTGTGTGGGTGGACAGCGCCTGGGGTTCATGGAGGAGGCTGTGATCCAGCCAATGTTGGGGGTCCCTTTCATATACCACAACCGTGAATGAGGGTCCATGGAAAGAGATGGGGATGTTGGGGTGGGGTCAGATGGCTTTAAAGGGAATTGAGTCACATGCTGAGTTAAATTCAGGACCTCTCAAGGGTGTACAAGGCAGTAACCAGACATTTGAGTATACATTTTAACGCATGTATTAATTTAGTGAATGTGCTGAGGGGTTTCCCTGCTTCTCCCATACCTGGGCATTGGCTACTCAGGCGGCAAAAATATTAAGAGAGTTTCCTTTTTTTTTTGTTTTTTTCTAATGAGCTTTCCCTGGAAAAATAAATCTGTTTCACAAATGAGGCTATATATTCAGGTATTGAAACAACCATGTTATAATTATAGAAGTATGCTATTTGTATTGCACGTATATGTTGTATGAAGTTCATACATGTCATCCAAAAAGCCATACAGGGCATTTCTCTGGAGCATCTGATTTAGTTATTTTTCCCAGGATATTAAAGGCTAAAATTTTTAGGCTTCAAGTAGAGAGAAATTGAAGCAATTTTGTACCAAACATCCACATTTTATGAGAATAACTTTGGCAGGACTGCAGAATGTCATGGCTTAGACAGATCTACTAGTTGACCAATTTAAACAACTTTACTTGCCATTAGAGACAGAAGAGTCTAAGACTTGGTGTATTCCAGAGTTCAGATTCCAGTCACTTCTCCAGAGCCAAGACTATAATTTTCCAAAAAGAAAGGTCATGTTTTTTCTGGAAATAGGACAGGATTGCAGAACTGTCTTTTAATGAGCAGAATTTAATAAATCAAAAGCTTAGGGAATAAACTTCTCATGTGGGTTTAAAGAAATACCACACAGTAAATTTTCTGAGTTTATCCAGATTCTGAAAAAGTGTTAAGACTGAAATAAAGCCCAATTAAATTACTAGCACAGCACACTCCACCCTCCCTTAAAGGCTTCCAGCTAGAAAACCCTAGGACAATATGCTGTTTCCATTAAAAATCTTGTTCTACTTAAAAGTAAGGATTCTGACAGGCAAAATACAAATTGTTATGGAAAAATTAGGTTTACAAGCATTTGAATTTATAAAAGTCAAATTATGAAAAAGTTCATCCATTTTCACATTTATTTTTTCCATTTTTATTTTTATTTATCATTATTTTTTACGGTATCGATATACACTCATGGTTTCACATGAAAAACAATGTGGTTATTACATTCACCCATATCATCAAGTCCCCCCTAAACCCCACTGAAGTCACTGTCCATCAGTGTAGTAAGATGTCACAGAGTCACTACTTGTCTTCTATGTGCTACACTGTCTTCCCCATGAACCCCCCCACACCCTGTGTACTAATCATAATGCACGTCAATTCCCTTCTCCCTTCCTCCCCACCCACCCTACCCCACCACTCCCCATTGGTAACCGCTAGTTCCTTCTTGGAGTCTGTGAGTCTGCTGCTGTTTTGTTCCTTCAGTTTTGCTTTGTCATTATACTCCACAAATGAGGGAAATCATTTGGTATTTGTCTTTCTCCATCTGCTCCATCCATGTTGTTGCAAATGGTAGGATTTGTTTCTTTCTTATGGCTGAATAGTAGTTCATTGTGTATATGTACCACATCTTCTTTATCCATTCATCTACTGATGGACACTTAGGTTGCTTCCATATCTTGGCTATTGTAATTAGTGCTGCGATAAACAGGGGTGCATATGTCTTTTTGAGTCTGAGAATTTGTTTTCTTTGGATAAATTCATAGGAGTGGAATTCCCGAGTCAAATGGTATTTCTATTTTTAGTTTTTTGAGGAACCTCCATATTGCTTTCCACAATGACTGAACTAATTTACATTCCCCGAAACAGTGTGGGAGGGTTCCCCTTTCCCCGCATCCTCACCAGCATTTGTTGTTCCTAATTGGTGTGAGGTGATAGCTCATTGTGGTTTTAATTTGCATTTCCCTGATGACTAGCGATGTGGAGCATCTTTTCATGTGCCTGTTGACCATCTGAATTTCTTGTTTGGAGAAGTGTCTGTTCATATCCTCCGCCCATTTTTTAATCGGGTTCTTTGCTTTTTGGGTGTTGAGGTGTGTGAGTTCTTTACATATTTTGGATGTTAACCCCTTGTCGGATATGTCGTTTACAAATACATTCTCCCATACTGTAGGATGCCTTTTTGTTCTACTGATGGTGTCTTTTGCTGTACAGAAGCTTTTTAGCTTGATTTAGTCCCATTTGTTCATTTTTGCTTTTGTTTCCCTTATACGAGGAGATGCATTCAGGAAGAAGTTGCTCATGTTTATATTCAGAAGATTTTTGTCTATGTTTTCTTCCAAGAGTTTTATGGTTTCATGACTTACATTCAGGTCTTTCATCCATTTTGAGTTTACTTTTGTGTGTGGGGTTAGACAATCCAGTTTCATTCTCTTACACGTAGCTGTCCAGTTTTGCCAACACCAGCTGTTGAAGAGGCTGTCATATCTCCATTGTATGTCCATGGCTCCTTTATCATATATTAATTGGCCTTATTATATGTGTGGGTTTATATCTGGGCTCTCTATTCTATTCCATTGATCTGTGTCGGTTCTTATGCTGGCACCAAATTATCTTGATCCTTGTGGCTTTGTAGGAGAGCTTGAAGTTGAGGAGCATAATCCCCCCCAGCTTTATTCTTCCTTCTCAGAATGATTGCTTGGGCTATTCAGCATCTTTTGTGGTTCCATATGAATTTTAGAACAATTTTCCCTAGTTCGTTGAAGAATGCTGTTGGTATTTTGATAGGAATTGCACTGAATCTGTAAATTGCTTTAAGCAGGATGGCCATTTTGACAATATCAATTCTTCCTATCCATGAGCATGGAATGTATTTCCATTTACTGGTATCTTCAGTTTCTCTCATGAGTGTCTTGTAATTTTCAGGGTATAGGTCTTTCACTTCCTTGGTTAGGTTTATTCCTAGATATTTTATTCTTTTTGATGCAATTGTGAATGGAATTGCTTTCCTGATTTCTCTTTCTGCTAGCTCATCATTAGTGTATAGGAAAGCAACAGATTTCTGTGTATTAATTTTGTATCCTGCCATATTGCTGAATTCAGATATTAGTTCTAGTAGTTTTGGGGTGGATTCTTTAGGGTTTTCTGTGTACAATATCATGTCATCTGCAAACAGTGACAGTTTAACTTCTTCCTTAGCAATCTGGATGCCTTTTCTTTCTTTGTGTTATGTGATTGCCGTGGCTAGGACCTCCAGAACTATGTTGAATAAAAGTGGGGACAGTGGGCATTCTTGTCTTGTTCCTGATCTTAAAGGAAAAGCTTTCAGCTTCTCACCGTTAAGTATGATGTTGGCTGTGGGTCTGTCATATATTGGCCTTTATTACGTTAAGGTACTTGCCCTCTATACCTAATTTGTTGAGAGATTTTATCATGAATGGATGTTGAATTTTATCATATGCTTTTTCAGCTTCTATGGAGATGATCATGTTGCTGTCCTGTCTGTTATATGGTATATGATGTTGATGGATTTTCAAACATTGTATCGTCCTTGCATCCCTGAAATAAATCCTACTTGATCATGATGGATGATCTTTTTGATGTATTTTTGAATTCAATTTGCTAATATAT